TTGTAAGAATTAATTATTATAATCAATCATCACATTCAAATTATTCAATTTAAAATATGAAATTGGCACTAAGTAGTATGTTTCCGATTTTACTTTTTTTATTGGATTTTAAAATCTGATTAAATGTGAATTTTTTTTCTTATCAGATTTCAAAATTTAGTTATATGTAAATTTTTCTTTTTCATCATATTATAAAATCTGATTATATATACATTATTTTACCAGATTTAAAAATTTAGTTATATCCCTAAAAACATAATTGGATTTGGTGTTGCAGTTCACATCACATCTTTCAGATTTTTTGTTATTCGATTTATTATTATGTAAAGGATAAGATGAGAAAAAGAAAAAATTTAGAGGTGCAAAAAGAAAAACATGGGGTGCAGGAAGAAGCATCCTAACTTTTAGTTAACGGATTAGTTTAGTTGGGTTGAAGCCCATGTCCACCTTCTTAATTTTAAATATTCAGTGAGTTTTCCTTTCTATTCTTTCTCATGATTTGCCAAACAAACATAAACACAAGTTTTAGAACATTTGTTCAATATTCAAGAAAAACATATCTATAAATGCTTTTTCTTTACATGATTCAATAATTCTTAGATGCATTCTCTTAAATACTTATATAAATAGAAAATAAAAAAACAGAATAACTTCTTTATAAGTTAAAATTAATTTATTTGATGTAAAATATCCAAAAACACATCGGTCATTTGATGTAAAGCTAATATTTCTTTTATCATTCTTTATCAATATGTATTAGCTGTTTGAAGATGTCAAAGATAAATAAGAAAGACCAGTAAAATTGTTTAGATTAAAAAAAATATACTAAATGAAAAAAAAGGTTCGTCTATATTTATTATTACTGCTATTATTTATATTACTATTATTATTTGGTTTATTCTGTTTTATTTGATTTTAGTCAATTAAATTTTTTTGTTTAATCAACTATGAAATTAATTTTTAGGTATAAATTATTATAAAAGTTAAAAAATACACACTTTTCCTATTATTCTTCGCACACAAGAAGGAAAAGTTGGATGAAGTTTTTTTTTTCGTAATTATTGCCTCGTTTTTTCAACTTTAGTGGTATTCATCGCTCCAAGCACACATTATACGTGTTTGATATATTGCTCAATTAATGAACTAAATAGTAAATAAAAAGAGAGAAAGATATAAAAGAATATAATTATATAAATGACATTTATGTTATTTTAGACAAAAATAAAAAATTACTGAAATACTAAAGTAGCACAATAATTATTATTTTTTCTATAAAATTGAAATAAGTAATATATTTATTTAATTTTTTTTCCATAATAGTTATAGTTTGTCTATGTAATTTTTATCATGATTTGATGTGATCGTTGTTTCTGTATTCTTTTATTACTTATTATAGTAGCGGTGTAAATTAGAAATTAAAAATTAATTTATTTTGCTCTCGGAAAGGTATTTAGTTCTTTTGTAAAGGTAATAGATTGGGGTTATAGTGTGGAATTAATTTGTAGATTATGTATTACTATTATCTTTTGTATGTACAACTTGCTACCATTATAGTTCCTAAACATGTGCGATATATCCTTCTTCTTTTTATTCTTTCACGTTGAGAAGACGATCTCATGTCTTTAAAGTACGATTCTAAACCTCAAGAACGCCAAGCCCTTCAAATTTAATATGACAACTGGTTTACACCAACGACTGTGACTTTCCATCTAATCACACTTCTTTTTTCCAATTTTCTTTCTATCATTTGGTTAATCTTTTATTAAGAATATCAAGTTAAAAAAATAAAAAAGAATTTTACATTTTAAGCATATGCTTCAATTGCAAACGGGTCGTTGTTCCAGATTTTGGTGGTATTTTAATGTCTGGCATATGTGATCATTGATTACATGGGTAAGATCCATTTACATCCACGATGACTACATGCATGACTTCAAGCAGAAGAAGACTGTGCAAAAGTTTAATTATTATCACTATTTCTTTAATTTCATATCTTGTTTTCTTAAGGACCTTGAAAATGTCTTAATTCTTGTCTTGCTTTTAATATATTATTTAGACGTTGCTCACTCTGACTCTTTCTAGTAAACAATTTTAATATGATAATGTAAAAGTGATGTATAATACTCTGACTCTTTCACATTTTTTTTATATATAGCAATGATCGATCTATAGTATAATATAAGGAGAAAATATCTCCATTATGTATGATTACGATTCACCTTTTTATTGTAATGGTTGGTGTTTTACAATTATAAAGATTAATTCTTAGGTTGTTGATGTGTGGTTTGTAATTTGTAACTTTGTATTAATTGAAAAACTTTGTCTTTAATTCTATTTCCATTGGCAACTTTTGTCTTTTAAGCATATGGGACCATTTCAAAGTCACAACTTTACCTAAGAAGTGAATTGAAGTTGAAATATTTTAATGGAAGGAGCCAAAACTTTTGACCTGAATTTGAGATCAAGACGCACTGCAAGGTTCTTGTGTCGTAAACACCATTATAGCCACAAATTAGCATTATATTAATGCAAGATCCCATGATTGTGTGAAAAGAAAATATCATAAAGCATCTAAAGTCTTTTTCCTAAAATATTGCTACAAAATAACGTGGCAGCTTCAAGTGAATATCTACCACGAGGCTACGTGGATTCATCTACAACACATGATTTAACTTCCTTATTGGAAAGATAAATTATGAAATATCATGAAAAGTAATATATATATATATATATATATATATATATATTAAATTGAAGAGTTTGGTAGAAGGTTTTCTAATATAGAGTCGAGATCAACCATTTTACTGGAAGGTTTAATTCTAAGTTACTCTGTCGTTGTTAGGCAAAATCGTTTGTCGATTTCGTCAAATTAAAAGATTATTTTTCATGTCAAAATCTGTAAAAATTCAACAACTCAACATATCTTATTTAGATTTATAAATTTTAGAATTAAGTTTTAATTAACAAAGAACTAACTATAATTCAATCAATAATTAACATTAATTTTTTTTACTGAGATCTTTGCAATCATGAAGGAAACTCGTATGGAAAAACATATATAACGTTCAGACTATGAAATCGTCGGGCAATTTATTAAATAATATAAACTATGATGATGTTTAATAATCCTTAAAAATATCTATTTTATTATATAAATCCATGTGTGATCTTTTTAATCTATTTTATTTGAATGAACAATTTATTAAATAATATAAAGTACGATGATGTTGTTACGATAAGAACTTTTTTGTCTGAATTAACATTCTTTAATTTCAAATAATTTATTTATTTTTTATCTGTTGATGGTATGATAATATTTTGTGATTGTATTATTTACATGAGTAAATTGATATAGCTGCGAGTTTCAAAGAGAATGATGCCGATTCAAGTTACGTTTGAGATACTTTTGAATGAATGCATATATAGTTATCTAAGTTATCCTAAAATATGTGTAGAAATAATAGGAGATGAAGATTTACATAGTATTTCTAGTAGATAGAATTTATGGTGTCTTACACAATATCCATGCTTGCCCTGGCAATAATTCTTATTTTTTTTATTTGAATAGATGAAATATAAAACTTCCCCAAATAAAAGAGATAAAATAAATTACAAATAAATAAAGAGTTACATATACTAAAATTTTGATCTAACCAATCTTGATTATTTAATTATTATTGTGTACTTTATGGGTATAGTTTGATTATAGAAAGATATCCGGTAAATTTATAATTTAAAAAAGATACGTTATCTATAAAAATTTTAAAAGATGAACTTTTAAATAAGTAAAAATAATTACTTTAAATATGCTTATTAGCATTGTTTAAAAGATGTTCTTTATTTTTATTTAATTTAAAATTATAGCTTTTAATTGGTCGGAGGAATAAAAGTAAAATATCAAATGTAAAGATATCCAATCAATAAAAAGTCATACAGAATGGGAGTTGCGGCGATATTCATTAAAGAGTTTTTACAGAGAAATTGCCAGCAGGTTGTGACCATGAAGCATTATATTAATCTCCACTGGTTTTGTATTTCAAATATTAAAAGAATCTTATTGAATATATAACAGTAAATAATAACTAATAATCCGGGTATATTCTTAAAAAGAATTACTAAAATTTTAGCAGAAAATAAAGAAAAAACAGACAAATTTAATATCTTTTAATACTTGAAAGCTGGGCACGTAAAGAAAGACATATTGATTAATATTTGGTAAACAACTAAACCTACTTATTTTATCGAGTTATTCAAATTAATAAAAAATAATAATAATTTTTTGTCAATATTTTAACATTATTTACATATTATTTTTTAATTGATTTAAAATTATTTTACAATCAATAATAATAATAATAATAATAATAATAATAATAATAATAATAATAATAATAATAATAATAATAATAAATATAAATATAAATATAAATATAAATATCAACGTACAACCATCACAAAATAACAACGTGTAAATAATATTAAAATGTTATAAAACAATTATTGTGAAATATCGTTATCCTAAAATAAACGTGTTACACTTTGATAGACCAGCATAGGTAGGGTGTACGAATTCACCAAACCCTACCCGCCACCCCCAACATTTTAAATTTTTCTTTTAAATGGATGAAAAAGTCTAAATAAATAAAAGGATAAACATATCCCCATGCCAAATGAAAACGTTTCCTTAATTAACTCAAGCTTTCTCTCTGTAAAAATTAAAAAGGAAAGATTTTACAAAAACCGACTAATTTTATGATAGAAAAAAAAACATCTTTCTTTCAAAGAAAGTTATTATTAATTGAAGTTATGGTGCTTAATTAAGTAGCATTTATATTCTTATGTGAAGGTCATAAGGTGGGGTTGTGTTATGAACAGTAGCCTCAAATAATTAGTCGGAAAGTGAGGTCAGTGTTCACATACTATCACTTCCCTCCGTGAAAGGATAGCTATATATGGAGGAGGAATCTTTGGCATATAAGGCCACTCCTCTCTCAAACAAAACATCACATTAATTACATCAAACTACAATGTTTCTGTTTCCTTAACCAGGATAATAATTTGGAACAGTACTGTTGATCAAGCTGACCAACCATGTTTCCTTTACAACGCGGCAATGAGCTGGTGATCCAATTTTCTAATGTCCTCCAACCGCAACACAAAATCTCTAAAGATCTCATCCTGGATGATCACAACAGCGATAATTCTCCCCTTGTCGCTTATTCAGACAAAAAAGTGCGTACTAGCCCCCCCAATAAACTCTTTTATGCGCCTGAAACCAGTCACGCTAATTCTGCAGAAGAAGAATACGCAAAGAAGATGGTTCACAGAGAGATTGAGAGGCAAAGGAGGCAAGAAATGGCAACCCTTCATGCCTCTCTTAGATCCCTTCTCCCTCTTCCCTTCATCAAGGTCAGACAATTAATTATATATATCTCTACTTTTTCATTTCTTTTTCTTTTCCTGATTGTGTTCTGGTTAGGGTTATTAGTATAATTCTTATTCTACTGTAGTTTCAGGGAAAGAGGTCGATGTCTGATCAAATGAACGAGGCGGTGAATTACATAAACCACCTGCAGAAGAATATTAAAGAATTGAGTGAGAAGAGGGATAAGCTGAAGAAGAAAGTTGCCATAAATTCCAGCCTCGAAAGCCGTGAGAACAAGCATGAATCATGTGGTTTCACTGTCCGCCAAACTAGTAGTGGAGCCGTGGGAATCGAATTCAGTGGATTGAGTGAGGAAGGGGTTTCACTTTCTAAACTGTTGGAACTGTTGTTAGAAGAGGGACTTGAAGTTGTTTGTTGTCTTTCAACTAAAGTCAATGGCAGACTACTCCACAGTTTGCAGTGTGAGGTATGTACACATTCTTGTCTTTCTTTATGGTGTTACACGTTTTTTATCTTGTTAGGAAGTATGCATATACTAATATTTTACGTTTCCCTTCTATTATTGGTGAAATGTGTTCACTCACAGGTTGTCAATTCCGACACTGTAGATCTGTCTGAGCTGAGAAGAAAATTCTCCAATGTAGTTCCATCATTTAGAGTTTCTGAATAAAACTTTGGTTTGGATATTTCTAGGCTCACTGTCTGCTGATCAACTGTAAATTATAACATACATAACCATATATCTTCCCTTTCTAACTGATTCTTAATTTCTCACTCGGTTACACTATATATGTTGGACAATTTTTTTTCTAAACCTTGTACTTTCAGTTTCGGGAAGAGAAGGGACAAATCTGGTGTAGATAAAATTTGCCTCCTCTTTCTCTTAACAATGTCTACGCTATTTGAAATTTAACGTGATGGAGAGAGTTATGTTTCATTGATTTCATAACCACATTCATCTCTAATTACATATGTTACTTACCCTTGAGAAATCTGTCGTCCACTATATATTATATAAATTTCGTGATATTTAGATATAATGACCTTCAATCGTCCTGTTTATTGATTCATCATAATTTGACAGAGTAACTAATTGGTAGAAGTATTCCTTCGGATTTTAACATGTTTCTTAGGTTTGAATTATTTTCAGGTTGAATGTTGAAAATTTTCCCACACACAAATCTATACAAGAAAAAAGAAGTTAACTTACCAATAAAAAGACTGTGGGACTACCATCTACAGAAATACCATCATCTCAATGTTGTTTAAACTCGTTTGATCTTGTACTAAAAATTACTTACTTTTAACAAAAGAATGGTATATATAATAAGAATCTTTAGACTTGATGTCCATATATAACTGAGATTTAACTGTAGCGTACTAACAGTGTCATGATTATCAAACAACAGACATAGTGGCCAAGAACAGCCTGCTTCATGATAACTCAAAACTTTTTTAAACATTTCAATTACACCATCGTACTTATCTACCTGAGGGTGTATTAAGAGAATTTTTCTTAACAGAAGGGAAAAATCGTCTTTTAAGATGTACAACATTGAACAAAACTTTATCTTTTACAGTAAATTTTTTGTATAAATGACATGGAACAAAACCCTGATCAATATCTTCAAGGGATAAGCTATATGTTTTTCAGTAACGTAGGATTTTTATAGTGTTAATGTACGCCAGCATTTATCTCTCTCCAACCAAAGAGAAAACAAAACCGGCAAATTCTGATGAAGCATGATGCATGTGCATTCATGCATGAGCTGAGTTCAAGTTAGCTTAGCCGGTTCAAATAGTTTGAACGGCGATACTTTGAATTCACATATTTCTCTAGATAATTTTTCTTGAAACATTTTGAATTAGAAAGATATAGTGCCTTTATGCAGTTTATCCTAATTAGAATATTTTGACAATTAAGTCAGAAATCACAGGATAGATATAACGTTAAAATATCTGTCTTCGAATAGCTTAATAACAATTCCATAAGGAGATCATTGTTAATGTCTGCAAATTATGTGAAGATGTGTAGATATCTCTTATTAGCCACTTTCCCCTAGTTTTTCATGATCAGAAGGACCTTGTGTATTCTTTAAAAGATATGTATAAAATAGAATCTTATTATTTTGTTCTGCATACGATACTTTTGTTTGGTTTCATTTTTAATTCCTTTAGCAGATTTTATTTTATGTCCTCCTCACATATGGCAGAATAAAACCTTCGATTATTTATCTTCTGTTCGGAACTCTTAAGTTAGGTTTTCAAACGAAGATGAAAATAAATATTTTCAAACACTTATATGTTTGATCTGTTTTCTTTTTTCCACATTGATTTGAAGTTAGATTAAGCTGCTTTGCTACTGTTTGGATGGTAAATTAGTTAACTTTATATCCTACAAAAGCACACGTGTGGGCTTTGAAATAAGAAAAATCGAGGAACCTAAACTTCAAAATTCTGACGTAAATGTTAGGATGTAAAAATAGTTGTCTTGTTAGTTTGTTAAATGATATATATATATATATATATATATGATTGCTTGGAATTTAATATGTCAGTTACACGTGAAAATTCTATTGTCATAATATTTAATTTAATGATTCATATTTGATTATTTTTCTAATATACATTTTCTACACCTAGTCCGTAAATATTATGATATATAACATTTTTTTAATGGTTTTGGAATAAACTTGTCATATCATGTTATATAAGGAAAATCACACGTTAATAGTAATAACTTTATTTCGATAATACTTATTATATTAAAGTGAATTACTAATAAGAATTAAAAGAAATATTATTACATAATAGTTATTCAAAATAACGATTGTCAAAGTATTGGAACTCTTATAATAGGTTTTCATCAAAATTTATCTTATAAATTGGTTTTATAAAGTTGAATTAAGTATAAAGTCTATTTCTTAACATATATTATATATCATCCTAACAAAATTTATTGTTTGTTGAGTATAATATTTTATCCGTCATCGGATTGTTATTGGACTCTCCGTTAATGTTTAATTTTACTTTTATTGTTTTGAAAGTATCAAATTAATTAAATATAAAATTATTTTACAGTATATAAATGAATGTAAATTTTATTTTATAAATTAATTTTATAAAATTGAGTTAGATATAAAATTCAATTTTTAACATTTTAAAAAAACAAATATTTATGAGATGTAATTTTGAATTGAAACAATACATATGTGTAAATGATAAATGATGCACGAGACAAGTTTGTAAAAATATAGAAACTATCCATTTTCTATGAGCTTATATTCATGGAATAAAGTGACAATAAATGTATAATCGGTTTCAATTCAACTTATGGTGTATTATGTATAACAAACTTGCATTCCATATTTGTATAGATTAATTCCATAACTAAAAAGTGAATGTATAGGCCTAATGAAACACTAAGGGTAACGTAATGTTGAAATCACATAATGGTAGTCAAAAGAATTAAAGCAAAACATTCTCAAGAATACCAAGAAACACTTTACGCCTCAAATGGGAAATAACCTTAATGGCAGGAGTATAATTAATCTAGAAAAACCTCATATTAGTGGCTTAAGTCCTTAACAATGAAATATATATAGTATTATAATCTATACCTATCTATCTATATATTTATACTATTTTATTATATAAAGGAGATTTCTCATTTTGATGCACACATTTAAAATTAAAGTAATTATTTTTATAATTTTATCCTTTTAATGACCGTTTTTAAAAATTGTAATTTTTTATTTGATCATTTTTTTAAATTAAAATAATTATTTATAATAAAATTGTAAAAATTATATACATTTATTTTTATAATTATAATTTTATTATAAAAAGGTAAACACACATATGTAATGTATTTGTTTTGTCTAGTATATATAAAGAGCATATGTTTTTTCAAAGTTAATCTTTTAAGTAATCTGTTTGATATATTTTAAATTAAAATAAATTTAGTTATATTTTAAAATGAAAATAATTATTTACAATAAATCATAATTATTTGCAAAAGCCCAATTCGGGTCACATATAAAATATTTAGAATATTGAGGAGTGTTGTTCCTTCCACCACCACCAAATGCGCACCACCTCATGCCTAATTTGTCATTCTTCATTTAATTACTGCACAGTAAAATGGATGTCAACTTCCGTTTCACCGAATGTTGATATCCGTGAATGGATTTTTACATCCGTAGAAGGTTACATCTTTTAATTTTTTTTTGTTATTTTAGTTTATTGTTTTTATTTTAGATTTTATTTTAATAATGTTTTTTATTTGTATATATTTATGTTTTTGTATTTTTTATTTTATTTGTATATATTTAATAATGTTATAAATATATTTAAAAACATATAGTTAAGTTGGAAAATAGATGTGAAAATCCTTCAACGGATATTAACATTCGTTGTACCATCAAACTAATTTAATTAAATTAATAATTATTTCATTAAATAAAATAAAATTAATTTACATATAATTACGTAACATATTATACAAAGCAAAAAACTTTAAATGCTCTATAAATTAATTTAAAATACAATAAATTAATAAACTAAAAACTAAAAAAAACTTCATGTGACATATCTATAAATATTTTAAAATATGGTGGTGCTGGGAGAATTTGGAGTGGTACAGAAGTTGAAATCCGAAATGAAATGGTCTTTGAAGAATGAAAACTATTGGGCCTGCCGGTTTTTAATTTGTTTCCTGCACCTCCTGTTTTCTTCCTTAACCTCATACCCTTATTGAAATGACTTCATTATCCTTAATGAAAAACCTAAAATCACTCCATCTTCCACTTCTTCTCACGTGTTCCTCTGCACAACATGGCTACACTCACTTCATCCCCTATACGTTCATTTCCTCCATCGATAGTGAGAAGCTTTTGAAGATGAAAATCAACGTTTTTTTTTATCGTTGCAACCCTTAAACCCCTAATTTCACTGTTCTTTCTTCATCATTGAAAAATCTACATGTTCTGAAAGATCCATTATCACCAACAACTAAGTTTATAGAAATCTCGCTTCGCGACTCCGTTTGGTCATAGAATCACCTCAAAATACCTATTTTTATGTGTTTTGAGGTGTTCTTTTGGTGTGTTTCATATTAAATAAATTTAATCATATATATAGAGAGAGAGAGAACATATCATTAATTATCATTAAATATGTTAAAGTTATTATACGTTATTAATTAATTTATTAAAGTCTTTTAATAATATTAAATATTCAAATATTGTTACTAATGAAAAATAAGTGTATGTCATCTATAATGCTTTTAAGAAATGTTTACCATACAAATTATTTGAGCTTAAAATCATGACTACGGTCTAGTGTTAGAACATAAAATACTATTACCACCTTATATAATATATTTTTATGTAGCTTTTGAATGCATTAATTATTTTTTAAATTAACTAACAATGTATAAAGGATTGATATGCAAATTTAGAATTTAGTTGCATAACAAGATTGAATAATAAATCAAATAATTATGATATTTTTTAATTTTTTAGTAAATTTTTTCTTATTCTTAAAACCAATTATATCTTTAAAAATCAAACACACTTTGGCAAGACAACAAAATATTCAAAGTGAATATTTGACTTTATAATTTTTTGATAATAATAAATATACAAAGATTGTTACTGATGTACTTAAATGTAAATAAAAAATAAGTGTATCTATA